ACAGATACTTAAAACAAAATCACATACCATGTCTATGTATACACAGGGCTTGCTAAATCTTGAACGCTAGGCTGCCACAGTTCCTAAAACAAGGTAACATGGTGCATGGTAATTGGGTGAATTTGTCATTAAAAAAAAAAAAAAGATGTGCTTTTTGATATGTATAGTAATATACAGAAAATTATTAGTGCTGCATTTGAATCTCAAATAAGTATTGAAGTTATAATTTTCCTATACTGAAAATGTATTTCCTATAGGTACTTACCTTCCCTCACATAGATAGATATTCTCATTCAGTGCTGCCCTTTATATACAAATTTTTTTCCACATGCTACAAGCCTTGAGCTCCCACAATGTGTTTCAACTGCGTCTTGCATGTAAATCATCATACAACAACTCTCCACCAATAGGAGTGCAACACACACTCCTGACGCATGCAACTCCCTCTATTCGATTCTATTGAACTATCACTTTGAGTTTTGGCAGAAAATTGAAGCACTGGTTTTCAATGGAGAGGAAGGATGGGAAGTGTGAGAGGAGGTAAGTACCTATTGGAAATACATTTTCAGTATAAGAAAATTATAGCTTCTGATACAGTACATTACCTCCTCTCATAAGATTAGCTAAAATTCCACATTGAATAAGTGGAGGGACTAGTGCGACCTCTACTGTGAGGGTTCCCCCTTTTTGGATGTTCTTTTGATGCTTTTGAAGGATGCTTCTTTCTTTCTTTCATCTATGGGATTGAGATTCAGTTATTGGGTGGCTCGGATCTCTTTCCAACCATTGTTCTCTCCCTTTTGGATGTTCTCCTTCCTTTTTCCACCCATGTCTGCATCTGATCTTTTTCCACACAGGGTGTAGAGTATACCTGGTACAGAAGTGATGCAGTCATCCATGTATGATCATCTACTGTGAGGATTCCTCCCGTTTTGGATGTTCTTTAGATGCTTTTGAAGTATGCTTCTTTCTTTCCCATCATACATTGGAGACTGCATCACTTCTGTACCAGGTATACTCTACACTCAGTGTGGAAAAAGATGTGATGCAGACATGGGTGGAAAAAGGAAGGAGCACATCTAAAAGGGAGAGAACAATGGTTGGAAGGGATCCAAACCACCCAATATCTGAATCTCAATCCCACAGATGACAGTAATGAGGGTGAGAGTAAAAGGGATGTACCCCAAGGTGTAGAGTGGCTAGGGCACGGCAAGTCAACTACATCCAAAACTCAGACACCGGGAACCTACATCCATGCAGGGGTAGGATGAGGATCATACTGTTGGTAAGTCAACTACAATCCAAAACTCAGTCACCAGGAACTAAAATCCATGTAGGGGTGGGAAAGAGGATCATACCATCGACAAGTCAACTACAATCCAAAACCCAGCCACCAGGAACTGAAATCCATGTGGGGGTAGGAAAGAGAATCATACTGGTGGCAAGTCAAGTGCAATCCAAAACCCAGCCAACTGGTAAGGGTAGAAAAGAGGATCATACTATTTTCAACTCAAGTTTAGCAGACCAGAGGAAAATATCATACCCACTGATCTGTGAACAGGACACAAAATAGCAAAGTGATCAAATGTGTGACCAATCTGGGAACCCAATATCCAAATGATCAAGATAATAAAGATGACCCTGTGTAGTAAAATATCTCACTCAAAACCAATCAGACAGGAACTACACCCAGCACAGTAACATTCTCAGTATATAAAAATCTTTGAGGGATAGCACAAGAGGAAGAACTGTAGTAACCTGCATGATCATCCACTGTGACCCACAACATGGTAGCAGCTAACATGAGTCCAACTGTGTAAGGGAACAGACACATCTTTAATACATGTGTGAGGACTTATGTTGATTGGTCCAGCTCTGAATCCAAAACCCAGCCACTGGGAACCAACATCCATGTGAGGGTAGGATGAGGGATCCGAATTGAAGAGGTGAACTGCAATTTTGACAGCTCACTCCAAAGCTACAACATCCCCTTGGATAGATTTGTTCAGAGAACATCTCATCATCTACACCAGCAGAACACCATTGCCCTACTCTCAACTGAATGGATTCATTATTGTTTCTATCGTATATCACTATCACATTCAGAAGGATGCCTTCATGGTCCACCACTCCAGTGGCTTGGAACTGGAAAGTTGCAAGGACTTCCGTACTACACTGGAAAAAAAGGGGGAGAGAAAATGTGGTGGAGAGTCTGGAGGAACATTAACACTGGAGACAGTACAATGGGAGATCACGGAAACCCTATTTTGGAAAGCAGACCACTCCTGATTTATTGAATCTAAGGAATGGAAGGGATGGGCAGCTATCCCTTTCTGCTTTACCCATGAAGTCCATGGGTTAGTATGGTCCATAACTGGCATATGAATGAAGCAATCAGAAAGACCTGACACAGAATGGCAAGGATAAACAAAATCACCTGGGAAGATGATGAATCGGATGAGAAAATAAAGGTATAAACAGGTCCCAATCCTGTCTGAATACATCAACTGCCAATTCAAGTGGATGAGGAATCAGAGCCAAAGACGTACAGATCTGAAACAAGCTCGAAGGGCAAGACACAAAACTGATACCCAACCCCATGGTGACCAAACCTAAGACAGTGCCACGAGGGATGAAAAATAGGAATGTGGGCATAAGAATACAAAATATTGACATTGGGCATCCTCAATCCTGGAGAAATGGCCCAGAGTGTGATAAAAGACAACATAGAAGAAAAGGGAAAGAACCAAGAAGTGCTTGAGACAGGACAGATCGATCACCTAACTCCAATCTGCATCAAGAATACATGGCTAATAGAGGAATTCTTAGATGTAGGACAGGTAAATGATAGGAAGGTGCCAGACATGGAACCTGAATAAAGAATGCAATGGCTAAAGAGACAAGCAACCAAAAAAGAAACAAAATCAATTGTAGCAACACAGATAACCCACGTGGTGTTAAAGTCACAGGAATACCCCCCACAAAAAATTAATCGGCAGAGGAAAAGAGTCTTCTGTAAGTCCCGATTAGAAGTGGAAGGGAAATGAAGTTGGTACAAGGCAGTGTCCCACCCCAGACGATCCCAAAAGCAAAGAAGCCATGTGTGTGTAGGGAAAGAGCCAAATATGGCAATCAATCCAACATGGAGGTAAGGTGGAGGAATGTATCCCATGAAATTTCCCAAGAAAAAAGGTAGAATGCCTCGGAAAGGAGGTACATGGTGGTCAATACCAGTAGGAGAAGGCTGGAAAACTTGGCTAGGGAGATGGGATAGAATTAACAAAATTTGCCCCCCATATAGGCAACAGAGATTTGAAATAAAGAGAAACAAAAACAATCTTCCTGATCGTAAGCTACGGCAAAATGATCCAAAGCCCATGGAGGGTGAGGCATACCAGCACAATTTCTTAAAAGAGATCCAAAAAGGCCCAGCATGAACCAATATGTCTGGAAAAGGAGGGAAACAACAACAACTGTGAAATGTGTATCAAAAAAGGGCTGAGCTTGGCCTAGCAGACTCCATAGTAGAGGCCTGAGAACACCAATTCATAAACAGGTGAAGGAAAATCCCAAACGAGTTCAGCAGTTTGAGGATGAAGGTGAGTCATATTGGGAGATGGTTGGGCAGACCCCAGACTCAGGGGTCCTTAAAAACAAAATTAATTGTACAAAGCATAAAATATAAATAATTACGAAAATGAAAAAAAATCATTATATTTTAAAATTAAGTAAGTGTATATTGACAAAAAAAAATTTAGTAGATGGTACTTGTTGAAGAAGTAATATATTTAACCTAACTTATTATTTATTAGTAAGATGAATTGATGGGTAAGTCTAAAATTACAAAGACACATTTTAAGCCTAATCTAACGTTGTAGCACAAAGGATATCACTAAATGTTAATTAAAAAAATCCTAACCTTACAAGAAGTAGCTACAAATCTAACTAAACATATGTTAATGAAACCAAATAACTACAAATAATAAAAAATATTCAAAAAGCTATAACAGTATAACAGCTTATCCGTCCAAAGTCAGTGGACCATATTCCAAATGTGCAGGCCCCTGAACTTGAGGCCTAACGAAGGAGGGTGTGTTGCACTCCTATTGGTAGAGGGTTGTCGCACGATGATTTAAATGTGAGATGCAGTTGAACCATGTTGATTGTGGGGTACGTGGGAGCTCAAGGCTTGTGGCATGCAAAAAAAATTTGGGATATAGCACTGCACAAGAATAGCTACTTATATGAGTGGTGGTAATGTACCTTTAAAGGAAGTCCAAAGTGCTAAGACCCTCAGATTTTCTAATGTTTGACTGCCAACCAATAAACATACGCATATGCAACTAAGCTCTCAGACACAGCTAAGTCAGTTAGCACTGAAAGTTTGCATGGGTTCTACATAATTTTTACATCACACAGAAAAGATTGCATGATTGGTTCACCTTAAAAGTAACGTATGGGCTCATAGCAACAGCGAGTACTTAACTTGAACAAAACTGAAAAACTGGGGCTCAGATTCTCTTGTGGACATGTGGGGATGATTTTCCATGCCCCTCAGCTTTTCTCTTGACTCCTGTTTGGCAACCTCTGCATATTTATTTTAAAATACCATAAATCTAAATAGTGATTAAAAGGTCTTGGAAAATTAGCAAGTGAGAAAGAATAAGAGAGAATTTAAATTTTATAAAAAATTTTTTGCTTTCCGTAATAACTCTTTAAAAAATGTTAATTTTTTGTTCTTCCATAAAACATGTCCAATGGATATATGTATACATATATTTACAAACATATAATTCTTTGTTAACAAAAAAAAGTATTACGATTTATATGAATCTTTTTTTTTAAACAAAACATCGTGCTTCTATCAATCTTGTTTAAAAAACTTAAAAATATGAGATATATTTGCCCATTTTGATTTCAAAAATGCATCTAAGAAAAAAAAATGTGCAGATTCAGTAACTGCCAAGTTAAAAAAAAACATATCTTGCATGTACTGACTGCAAATTGTTACCAAAATGCAATTAGGATGTATGTCCATGGCCAAAATATTGGTCTTAAAACTCAACTGGAGCCACTGTTTTTGGAGAGTTGGTGCTTAATTTCTCAACTTTCTAGTATGACAATTGAATATACTCATAAGCTTGTAACAATTTAATATTTGAAATGAGCATCTGGAGGTTAACTGGATAACAAGATTACATTTTGAGATAAATGGATTGTAGAGGTCAGATAAGAGTGAGAAACAAAAGACAAGGAATCAGTTATTTATTCAGTTATAAGGACATTTCTTCAAGTGTACAAGGTTGATACTCATTAAAAAAAGAAGCTTATAGAAAAACTGTACATTAGAGAAAGCTACCAGTATATGTAGCAGTGAATATTCCCAGAAATGTGAACTAACATAATATGGGAGCTCCCCCAGCACATCTGTACATACAAGCAAATGTTTTATTTCCTAATATAAACTGTGAATTACATCGAAGTATTAAAACATACAATTTTCTTGATGAAAAGTAGTTTAACCATTATTTGAAATTGAAACACCAGAGACTCAATGATGACTAAAAAGCAAGAACAACAAATCTGATCATTTTGATGTGAATCTAGTGAATCAAAACCTGTATCTAAACACTTGAAAATCTACTGGCTATACCAAGACAATCATCATTTCACAACCACATCTACGTGCTAGTAATTAAAATGAAACTATTACCACCAAATCATGTATTACACAGTGGGAAAAGCCACAATAAAAATCTACGTTAAAACAGCAACAATCATAAAAGAAAATTAATTAAACAATTAGCTCTGATATAACAAGTGAATATAAAACAATTTAAAACTGTCATAAATGAAAACATTGACCATATATATTACAGTGTGAGCTGTAGATCTCTCAAAAGATGAAAACCATTTCCAAAGACATTTTTGACTTCTTACATGACGACATTTTTGACTTCCACCTTTTCTTTTCTAACTTATACATACTTGCTGGTATTCGCTGAAAGAATATACAACATCACTGAAGAAAATTTGTTACTTCTAGCAATACATATTTTAATATCATATTGTTATTTGTAGTTTCTAAAAACAGCATAAAGTCCCAGATCTACTGGACTGAATGAGAGACAAAAAAAAAGATAAGGAAAAGGACTGCAAGCCTGCCTGAACTTGAGTCAAGTCATCAGTGCCAGTGAAGGCTAGAGTTGCTCAGTGAACTCCTGGTGGAGGACCTTGCCACTCTGGCTTGAAGGGAGAAGCTCTAAAAGGGTTGGGGGTGGGTTGTAGGTTAAGCTCCACAGGGTTGTTGCTGGTGCTAGCATTAGGTTGAGAAAGCTTAGTTTCAGTGCTACTAGTACTTGGGGTACTAGTAGGCATACTGATACTGGTGCTGATGGGAACACTCAAATTGTTGGTTGGTCCCATGGCTCGTTGTTGTCTTCCAGTGCTTGTTGGAGCTGAAATAAGCAAGAAGTTTTTCAGTAGAGCTTTTTCATTTTAAAACGGCACACTACTGTGCATCTTAATGTGAGGAGTCACATGAATGATGTGCTACAAATACCACATCAGCAAGCAAAACCCTTAGGTTCCATCTTTCTAGGAAAAAGAGTAAATATTATAAGAGATCTCAGATATTTCCTGTACCCTCAATCAAGACTCCTAAAAAATCTTCCCTAACTTTTCACTGTGTATGACTGGTTGACAACAGTATCATAGTGGCACAGTTTTAAAAACAAAACCCAATATACAGTTTCTCTTTCTCTACCCTTCTTCTAATTTCTCTTCTCAATATTTGCCCCTTTTTTATCATTTTCCGTGACCCAAAATTCTTCCTAAACCATTTAAGGGTCACATAAAGAATGACATAACAACCTTAAAATCAAATGTTATAAGACGAGCTTAATAACGTGAATGTGTAGTTTACATTAATTTAAGATAATTATCAAATAGACAAAGAATATGATCATTGGATATTAGATTTCATTAAATTTTTATTTATATACAAATTTGTTATGTATAGTGTTTGCTCAATTATTGGTTATTTTACTGAAAAGCAAAATTGTCCGTGTCTACATTGTACTTGATGATATGCAAGAAGAAAGTTAAACAGGTAATTCAATTAACTTTAAAAGATTTATGGTTATTGTAGTTTTAAAGTATTTACTGTGACCTGTAATTGATGGTAAACATTCTTTTGTTGTCAATATATTAAGTTCAGATGCAAGTTGTAAACTCTATTTGGCACTTGACAACTTTGTGACTATTTACTTGTTATGCCACACATTAATTACATTGACTAGTAGTACATGACTAGTAAGGACTCACGTTTCTAGGGTTTCATAAAACAGACAGGTATAAATATTCTTTCAAATAAGTGTCCCTTGTTGTGGGTAATCATTATTAAATATGTGTACTAAAAGAAAACATTAGCCCTATAACTCCAAGATCGACATAACTACCTTAAAATCAAATGTTATAAGACGAGCTTAATAACGTGAATGTGTAGTTTACATTAATTTAAGATAATTATCAAAGAAGCTTTTGTGAGTTGAGTTCAGTAAATGTGTGAGGGAGCATTTAAGGTCCTTACTTTCATTCCACGATCCAATGAACGTCACATTCAGGAAATTATAAATAAGTGGGACCAAATGTATGACATACTGAGATAAAACAAATGTTTTTAATTCAAAAACATGTATCTAGCAACAGATTACATTGTCTCAATATTACAATATGTGGAGGTCTGTAATACAGTGATGTACATATGTATGAATGTGTGCATGTATATATTACAGCACTAAGTTTTTGCATTATGTGAATTAACCCTTTATCATCTCCACCCGTACATTTACACCAGTTATGGTAATGGGGAAAAAACCTTCCATGGATGATAAAGGATTAACAAGGCTTCTCACCTGTATGAATACGCCTGTGCCGAGACAGCTTGTCTTTTCGGTAGAAACCTCGCCCACAAAAGTCACAGGGATAGGGGCGTTCTCCTGTGTGGATCATAGAGTGCCGAGTCAAGTGGTTCTTCTGGGAGAAGCTCTTTCCACACACATCACAGTGGAAAGGCTTATCACCAGTGTGGGTCCTCATGTGGTCTAATAACTTGCATCGGTAGCTGAAGCCACTGCCACAGATCTCACAAGAACAGTTTTTTTCTGCCTGTGCAGAAGGGGCGTGAATTCCCAGACTCTCTATCAAAATATAAACAACAGATTAGTACATGACAAAGGAAAAAATAAATTTTTTGACAGAATACAATTACTATGGGAATTCTAGGTGGTTTCTTTGATTCTTAGAGCTTCTCAACAGTATTTACTCACCAAGTAATACCAGCTAACACTACTTTAGTTCACTCCCATTATTTTGCAACAAGCTATCTCACATTACTAAGCATCTAAATTAAACTTGTTAGTGATGAAAAAATTAGTTCCTTACATTATACTCTTAATTGCAGTTGTGGAAAGAAGCAACTTCTATTTCACAGTTAGAAGAAAATTAATCAGAAATAGTTGATGCATGATAAAATTATTATTAAAAATTCTCATTTTCAAATTTAAAGTTAAGCAATTATTCAATTTCCTATGAGCATTGATTACTTCAATTAGTGTCAGGTAAAAATTGTCAATTAATTAAAATTAAGTTGATTAGTGTCACGACTCATGAAAATAATCAACTAAATGAAATTTGTGGTTCTGATTATACCTATTTTTGATTATTACACCAAACTAAGTCTCACGTGAGAATAATCGATTAGTTGAATGTAATCCGACGTTTAAAAAATTTATCAACTCTACTAATCGTTTCCTTAAAAATTTTCAAAAAGTCAGTTTTATCCATTTCAACGTAGCTTGCGATTGCCCAATTTAAACTGCTGTTTAATTATTTTTTTGCATTGATATTTAATCACAAAGTGTATGAAAATTGTTGTTTGTTATTAAACAAAAAGCTACACAAAGGGCTATCTGTGCTCTGCCCACCACGGGTATCGAAACCCGTTTTATAGAGGTATAAGTCCGCAGACATACCACTGTGCTACCGGGGGACGTGTGTATGAACATACCAGCATAATAAGATGTCACTAACATTACAGATTATGTGAACACAGACATTTATGACTGATATTCCTTTTACACTGCACCATTACATATATATATTTTCAAACCCTAAGCCAAGTTTTTCACTTTTTTTATGAATTAAAAACAATACTTCTGTAAACATAACAAAAAGTGCAGATTTTGTTACCGGTAAAAACTAGCAGCTACGTAAACAACTTTTTAATCAGAATTATCAGCACTTAATGTTTCAGGTTAGAAATTTAAAATATATGTATGTAATGGTACAGTGTAAAAAAAATGACAGTCATAGAGCTCTATGTTCTGGTTATCTATAATGATTAATGACAGCTAACTATACTAATATATTATGCTCTAAAATCACTATGGTCTTAAAATATTTTGCCTTCAAGAAATACGTGATTTCTATACCAATACATTTGGAAAAACATAATAATTAGGCTGACCAGAAACAAATCCTGCAACATGTATATTTTGCATCTTATCATTATATGGCATATTTCCAAATTCACACACAAGTGGATTTAGGTCAAATGTGACTTGGAGCAGTAGAATAGCATTTGGCTACACAATCAGAATAAATACAAGTGCATACAATTCATAAAAAATTCAAAATAACATGTAGAAAATTCACATTTTTTTAAAAACTCTTTGTATATATACATTTTTGCACAGTTGACTTTGCCCCATTATAAATTTTTATAAGTTAACTTACATGTGTGTAAAAATGCCTTACTAAAAGTTAAACAACTGTACGACTTCTCACCTGTGTGAATACGCCTGTGCCGAGACAGTTTGTCTTTTCGGTAGAAACCTCGCCCACAAAAGTCACAAGGATATGGGCGTTCTCCTGTGTGGATCATGGAGTGGCGAGTCAAGTGGTTCTTCTGGGAGAAGCTCTTTCCACAGACATCACAGTGGAATGGCTTGTCACCAGTGTGGGTACGCATGTGATCCAACAACTTACAGCGATAGCTGAAGCCACTGCCACAAATGTCACAAGAACAAGACTTTTCTCCATGAGCTGCACGCATGTGAACTCGAACCCTCTCTGCTGACACGAATAACTTACCACAGACTTCACATGGAACCGTTCTTTCACCCTTAGTGTGATGGGACAAGTGAGCTTGCAGCTCAGAGGCCGTCTTGAATGGTACCTTACAAGCTGGGCAGGGCCAAAGCTTCTCTTTCGTATCCTCCCGATTTTCTGCAGCAGCCACTATTGCTGCTGCCTGGGCAGCAGCTGCAGAAACTATTTTAGTTGGATCAACTCCTGGGAAAGCAGCAGTTGTAGCAACACCAGTAGAAGAAAGCAGCATATTTCTGCTACTTGTGACATAGTCATTATTAGCCAAAAGGGTGTGTGTTTTAACACCTAAACTACGGTTTCCAGCAATAGACATTTTTGGTTTCTGGGCTTCTTCTTGAGGTTGTAGTTGTGGAGGTGGAGGGGTTGCCGTTGTCCCAGTGTTTGGATAAAATTTTGCCAGATGGGAACGAGGATCGAAATCTAAATAATAACGATAAGAATCTATGCAACATAAAAGTACAATATTTATGATACTTAAAAACAACTTTCACATACTGTTTATTTTAATACAAAATGAATTCCATTCACATTTTGTATTGTTTTTAAGTGCCCCCAATAAACAAAAGATATTAAAAACACAGTGGCACCATATGGATGATTATATTTGCACCATTATTTTTACAATGGTTCTATTACATATAATCGTGCAGATACATAACCAGTAACACTTCCAAAAAAAATTCAAAAACACACTATGTTAATAACTATACTGAGAGGATATCTTATTAGGCCTCCGTCTAAAATAATGTAAAAATAGCCCAGACATGGCATGGCACAAATTCTAGAAAAAAAAAAAAAGTTTGGGATGTTTCTTAGCCAACTGTAATCAATGCGTCATTAAGTATGGAATGTACATGGTTCATAGAGTTGGAGAAATATCTTGGTCACAAATGTGATGGTGAAAATGTGATATTAAAATTCAGTTTATGAATAATCAACAGCATTAATATCTTGTGAGTATGCTGGCCAAGTTACAGTCATGTGTTTTGGTCTAATCATGAATCTTACTATAATGGAGCAGTGGTGTGGCTGTCTATATATCTATCTATGTATGTGACCAAAATGAAAACAATGGTGACATCTGTTGTGCTGAGATACAAAATCTCAATGGCAGAAGTGATTAAGGCTTATGACATGTTGCACTATCTACTGAATGGCACAACAAACAAAAATCAATAAACAAATTTCACACTTTGGATATTCAAGATTCAGACAATTCGAAAAATAACTACAGTATGTGTAACAACTATTTCTTTACCACAGAAAACAATTTTAAATAAAAGTACTCTCCTCTCAACAAGACTACCACTTTCAGTAGGGCTGTACATGAGGGTTTGATTATATCTGTATTGAGGTAATTTTTAAATGTAGTGCTAAAAAACTGGAGTTCTTAAAAAGAAAAACTTATTTTTTCAATAAAGTGTAGCACTTTTGATAAATAAAAACATTACAGTTTATATCAGTGAAATTTATGAAAATTTTGAGCTCTGTACATTGAATCATCTTGATGCAATGAATTGTGTATGACTACAGAGCACAATCCAAACATTTTTCCTATGCGGTACTTCCCAGGATATAATACTTTTTATATTTTCACTTTTTTATAATTTTATACAATGAGGTATGAATAATATGATTAGTAATTACTAGCACAAACATCTGCCTGTAGGGCACCATTTCTGCTAGTAATAAGAAAAAGATGAATTTTTTAATTATCATCTATAATATCCCTTGTCCATTTTGTGTAAATGATCATCAAAAACATTCAAGTAGACTTTGAATATTATTCATTTTTCTAAAGAAATCAGAAGATCCAAACATTGACATAAAATCATTCACCAGTCCCCACACCATTACACTACCTCTAGCATATTGTACTTTCTGAACACATGAATAAGATAAAGTTTCATTTTATCTTATTCACTGTTCACAGTTTGCATTTGAAGCACTACTCAAGCCATACTTTCCTGTTTTTAAATGACATATCCTTTTTTTGGAGCTCGTTGTTGACAACCATGTAATAGTATTTATTATTTTCCTTGCACACAGTGTAGTTGGAGGGAAGTGAATACAGACCACTGTTGAAAGAATTGGTGAAGTCTGATTTTTATTGCACTTTATAAACCTGCTTAACCATATCTTTCTTTGTTCATCATTAAAAGCTAACAGTGACATATTCTCTTTTGATTGCCACAGAAGATTGTCTGATAACAGGTACCTTGGAACAACCACTCAAAGAAACACGTTTTGATGATGATGCTCCTGTTAGACAAACACCTACAACATTATCATGCTCCTTAGAAAGTTGGAAAAATCTTTGATGTTACCTAACATCTTGAACATTAACATAACACTGTGATAGTCAACTTTTGCTGATCAAACCCAAAAACAAAATTCAAACCTTGGTACACCTGGTACTCTTCCTATTTTCTACATCTCATATACTAAAAATTATATTAGGTCATCAAGAAATTAATGTCACATTTTGGAACACTTTCATTAACCACCCCCCAAAAAACGTACATCACGTATAATAGTTAAACGAACCACCTAAATGTCAAGTTAGTGTAGCCTATATAATGTTTAAAGTTTAGTATGCTCTAATCCTTTATTGTGATGGCACACGACAAGACACACATTTGGTATGTAATGCTGTTCGAATACAAGAAGGGAAACAATGCCTCTATAGCCACAAAAATATCAAAGAAGTTTATGGAAATATTTTGAATGTTCGTAAGGGTCAACGATGGTTCACCAAATTTTGTTCAGGTGACTTTAGCATTAAAAACTGTGAAGGCAGGGGCCAACAAGTTGGAATTGATATTGATGCTCTGAAAACGCTTGTCGAGTCTAACCCAAGGCAACACACTCGTGAAATGGCCCTGTAGTTGCATGTCTCTCATGAAACAATATGTAAATTTCTAAGGAATATGGGAAAACTCCTTAAAGATGGTATTTGGGTACCTCACGAACTCTCTGATGATCATCATTTCCAACTTGTGAATGTTACTTTGTCTCTTCTGGCACGTAATGCATGTGAACTATTTTTTAACAGAATTGTCACTGGTGATGAAAAATGGATTCTCTATGCAAATATTAAATGCCAAAAACAATGGCTCAGTCCTAGACAAAAACCACTTCCGACCTCAAAACCAGGACTCCATCCTCAGAAAGTGATGTTTTGCATTTGGTGGGACATCAAAGGAGTAATTCATTTCAAACTCCTCAATGCACAGTGAACTGTCAATGCAGAGATCTATAGTCAGAAACTGGAACGTTTAAATCAAGCTCTTCATCAAAAATGCCCTTCACTCGTCAATCGGAAAGGTGTTCTTCTTTTCCACGACAATGCACGTTCACATGTGGCACATTTGACACAACACAAGATTATGAGGTTGGGTTGGGAAGTTCTCCCCCACCCACAATATTCTCCAGATTAACATCTTTTTCGTTTGCTGCAACACCATCTTAATGGGAAAACATATACAAATGTGGAAGGTGTTAAAGAGGACATTGACATGTTTTTTGTTTCAAAGCCTAGTGATTTCTTTAGTCAGGGCATTAACAACCTGATTGTAAGATGGAAAAGCATCATCGATAAGAATGGACACTACTTCATTTGATAAATGTTTTGATATATATAAGTTGTTTGGGTTTTTCATCTAAAAAAAAAGTGACAATAATTTCTTGACAACCTAATAGGTAATGCTTATAATTTTTATAAAAATCACAATTGTTGTAGTTACTTGATATAAAATAGAAGAAATATATTGTACTAAAAAAAAGAAGATATTGTAGGATTAAAGTTCATCAACACGAGTTTACTCGTATATATTCAGGGTGAAATTCTTAATGAGATACAAAAAAAAAACACCACCATAAAAGCTTGTGTGGCCACTGTGCAAGTAATTTTTTTATTATCCTACCACTTGAATCATGATTTATTAAATACTATATTTTTGGAAAACATTCCTAAATCTTTGATCTACTATATCTAATACAGATATTTTTATAGTTACTGTTTTCTGAACTTACAAGATCACAAATACAAAATTTATATTCAATCACTACAAAATGACATTGTAAGTGTTTATACTGTGTTTAATAACGATCAATTCAAATATTAAAAAAAAATTACTTTTCTTATTACTATATGTTTAATTCTATCTACAGCTCCTAATAGAAAGGGCCTATAACAATATTTTGTCTCAAGCCCATCGATGTCTGTGCTAATAACATACATCACTTCCTCTTCTGTGACAAGATCTGATCTTTTACCAATAGTCATGCCAAGTGAGCACACAATCTTCTGTTGAATTCTACCTTGAGATAATACAGACCATGTTAAGTTTTATGTATCAGTGAGCACACAATCTTCTGTTGAATTCTACCTTGAGATAATACAGACCATGTTAAGTTTTATGTATCAGTGAGCACACAATCTTCTGTTTGAATTCTATCCTAAGATAATGCAGACCATGTTAAGTCTTTATGTATCAGTGAGCACACAATCTTCAATTGAATTCTATCCTAAGATAATGCAGACCATGTTAAGTTTTATGTATCAGTGAGCACACAATCTTCTGTTGAATTCTATCCTAAGATAATGCAGACCATGTTAAGTTTTTGTGTATCAGTGGACTTGTTAAATTCCCTTTTCATGACATGATGAATTCTTATATTTTAACATCTTTCTAAAGAAAAAGGGTTTGCACTGAGTTTTTTTTTGCTAGTTTATAGTTAGATGACTTAGGTAACTTTGCTTTAAGTGATTTAAAATGTTTTTGTTTTTTTTTGTAGTTTCCACAGTTCAGGTGTATGAAGTTGGAGAAACACAAGGTAGGCAACTACAAAACTGTCAATTAAAATTATATAATGTCCTCAGTTCTTCATGACTGGATAATTTCTTATTTTTTGTGTGTAAAATGGCGGGTATACTAGCCACTCACAACCTTTGGGTAGACCTTAACAAGCTTCAAAGTTACCCATTCTATAAGTAGATTTACTGTTGATAAACTTGGTTTTCTTAAAGACTGTGTTCTCTGAAGATATCTTTCAACAGGACCTATTCAATTTCACACAAACTTAAGAACAAGCAAAGAAAAAAAACCTGCCTATATAAAACCTAAAAAACAAAAAGTTTGTTTCATATCCTCTAGATGCAAAATTTTAAAAGGTTCAGCAACCTATGTCAACTAGCAACCGAGTACAAAGGTCATAACTAGAAGAGATAACTGTTTGCTTTATTTCTTTATTTGCTGTTCTATGTTTTAAGAAAAATAAGTTTATGAAGTTATTTCTAAATAGCAATAATCTATATACATATATAATGTATAATAACTGAAATGTGACTGTATTTTACAAAATACTACTCTACTAAAACACAACCAAGACAGCTCATTTTGTAAAGACTAAAGGTTAGTTTTATATTATTGGATAAGGTAACACGAGTGCATGTGTGCCGTATCATTGTAACTTCTGTATTGGTAGCCAGACATGGGTGAAAGGTCAATATAATAAATATATAATGTTATGAGATTTAAGCTATTTCATACGAACATTTATGTTTTCATTTTTTAATAATTTGTAGTCATCTGGAATAAAAAAAGTATAAGTTATATTTATTTCCTAATTTTTTTCAATGTGGTTATGAGATCGGTCAAATCAACCAAGCCCGTAGAGATTCGTTACTGAAAATAACACATAAAATATAGTTTTTTCTTAAGAAACATTTGGTAACTATCTGGACATTATAAAGATTTTGCATGTGAAATTTGAAAATTTTCTGATGCACAAAAGCATTTTTAATCTTAAAATGAAAATTAGTTTGCATGTTGGATAGGCAACATGCAAAAAAAAAGGGGGCATGAGAAAACATTGCTTTACAAACCTTAAGACTTAATAAAAAAATTGATATTTTGCTTATGAAAGTATTGTAATGTTTGCTGATAATCTGCCAAATTTTGTTAACATATTCTTACTAATTTAAAAGTTATGACATGAAAACTATAACAAGCACAAAATGGTGAAGTCAATCCCAGGGACCAAGCCCATGCTGAAAGAGTTATTGGGGAGATAGTAGAACACTTTCATTTTAATGGGGGGAAATAGTATAACATTTTTATTTTAATGTGTATTATTTTATTGACTATAAAAATTCTCAACTTAGGATAATTTGCACTTCCATTAATTTATGCATGTGTATTATGAATCATAATGACTAAATATCCCAATTTCATCATTATACTAACTTTTTCAAAATGAGAAGTTTTAAAAATTGAAAGTAGATTACTGAAACTGTCATTTAATAAACAGGTAAGTAAAACTGTTTATATGTATCATAAGAAATAACCTAACTGTAAACGTTTTTTACTCATACTAAATTATTTTTAAATTTTTACAAGTTTGTTCAAAATTTTCTTAATCTTACTTTATATACTTTTGGAAGCTAATTCTTTAACTATTTTGTTTAGCATTTAAAGACAATTTAAGTATTACAATGAAAGTTCATAAGTTTTCAATCAATACACAAAATAAAACTGTAATTAGAAACAAAAACGCCAGAACTTAAAACAAATTGACTAATTCAGTGCACAAAAGTATGTTAAGAAACTTCTAAAAATTAATAAAAGTTTAGTTATACATGATCTTGAAGTAGAACTATTTTAAATATACAAAAATGTTTCGTACATCCAAACAAAAAAAAATGCAAGATACAGAGCACTTTAGGCAATGCTTTTTAATCACATGAATAGAATGTTTAAGCAACTGAAAGGTACTGACCTTGTCTGATGTAGGGGTGACTATCTTTGTACTCTGTGAGGGTCGAGGGGATTACACTACTCATCAGTAATTGTTCTGTGCGTGCTTGAAAAACATAATACAGAGTATACCACTACTTCAAACAGCTTTATATTTCATATCTTGACCAGAAACATCAGGTCAGTAAAATAACTTCCAATAATATATTGCATACAGCTTTCCCTGTCTAGTTAATATTCACTTTACTAATCTCCAAGTTCACTGTAAAATTTTTGTAACAGAACGTTCAAGTTCTTTTTCTGTTTGTTTGAAGGTATGGTGCCAGATGTTATCATGAGCAGAAACTGCTATAATTCATTATAATCATAAGTAAAAACACCAAATAAAAGGTCTTTTAAAAGTGTATACACTACAGCTAAACCTTTGGAACTGGGAAGACACATGTTTCAGGGTGTAAAATGTTAGTAGTACAATGCTAAAACGTTCTACACCCTAAGATTTATTGTTTCTCAAATGATATATATATATATATATATATAAAGAGCATTACAATTGGCTCTGTAGTCTATGTTGTACACCAGCAGAATTAGAGTTTTGGTGTTGAGTGAATAGTCTTGTCGGCAGTGACCTGCAAAAACTAGGCCAGAAGAGAATGATGTGATTTAAGTTACTATTGGTCTTATTGTGATCTTATATCATCCACACACATTACTGTTAAGTATTATGTTCTGCTAGCTGAGGTATTCAATATACTAATACTTAATGTCTCAAAAATGACTGATACAGGTAGCTTTTCAACTGAGACTTCAATATTCTGACCCACTCAAGCTTGAGCTCTAGTATTCAATGAAATGTTTCACCAGTAGAACCAAACACCAAATTAGGTGAAATGCTGTTATATATATTCTTGCTGGAAACTTCATGTGAGGAAAATAAAGAATGGTGTGATTTAAATTTTCATCCATTGAATTGTGTTGTCCCACAAAAAAAAAAGTTTTTTGCATGAATTTCAATGACTTCCACGTTTTTATATTTTTATGGAGTGGGATTTAAGTGAAGAGCACTAATTTCAACCTTGAGATAGTCCTATCATTTTATTTTTGAATAGAAATAAATCTAACCATACATGTACATGTTTATGACCCATTAAATATATATGATATACATTACAAAGTTGTTCCTCAAAACTTCAAATTCTTCGATATCTGTGACATTAACTAATACACCATTTTTAGTTTTAATGCCTTTAAATAAATAAATAAATAAATAAAATAAAAAAACAAAAAAACAACAACAACATCAGATTTACTAGTTCATATTATTATAGTAATAATTTTTCAAGACTTACAACACAATTAAAATTTGAATATGATGGTGTATCTTATTTTGAAAGATAGTGAAAAATCAACACGGAACAAATACCATAGAAGTTGATTTACAAACAGAAAAACTACATTTACTGCAAAAACAAAAAATAAAAACAGAATTTAAAAACAATGCTAGACGTCAACTCTCTATTGAAGTTTTTAAAAGTTAATATTTACTAGCTAAATACTTAGTTCAAAACAAGATGTAATTTCAATTACCACATATTTCGATTCCTGTGTTTTGTGTTCCTCTTGCTCTCATTGCATTGGCAACAACACCTAACATCAAATATAAAATAAATCAAACAAATGAAATATTTTTTGAGTACTTCCACTATCAGGGGCAAGGTTTAGTATGTACATGTATGACTAAATATATGTACATTATTTTCCAAACAATTCACCACAGTAAAAATTTGAAACGGGAGTACTTCATTTTTGCCTTTAACAACAAAACCAATTAAAAAGCTTGGAACTTGAACTGGTGTGCCAAACTAAATTCAAGCAAATAAATTAACATAAATATGGATAACAAGGGACCATTTGCTCCAACAAGGCTGAACTGTAAAACCCAACCCCTAAGAAAAACATAAACCCTCCCTTTATTTTGCAAGAGATTATTGGTTTCCCCCTCTTACAACTCTTGTAGAATGCCAACCTCTAATATTACTGACAGCACCTTGTTCCATAAGCCAATCACCTGTCTTTTCCATATCTTAAGCTTAATTCTTCTGGTACTACTGTTTTCAGAATAAGCACAAAACAATCAGAGGTCTCTATCATATTGATCCCGTATATAATCATGCAAAATTCAATAAGGTCATGTCTTATCTTTCTTTTCGCAACAGAAAAGATCTTAAGCTATACCCATAAGATAATCTTTCATTTCCAGAATCATTATAGTGGTTCCGTATCTGAATTCTTTCCAAGAAGTCAATAATCTTTCTTAGATATGGGGTTTGAAACCGTACACAGTATTTCAAGTGAGTCCTAACTAGTGATTTGTAGAGAGATAATTATCTCTCTTGAACTGTAATCAAAGTGTTTAAATACACTCTAAAATGCTATTACCTTTGATACTAGCAATAGAACGCTGTCTTGAGTGCCTTATCCATCATTATGACAAGATCCTTTTCTTCAGTCACTTTACTATGTGGGTTCCAATATGTATTAAATGATTGATACATAACCCAAATGCATTACCTTGCATTTACTACAGTTAAAGGTAATTTGCCAAATATTATTTGAGCAATTAACCAATTGATCCAAGTTGTTCTGTATTTAGTCAACATCTTCAATACAGCTAGAAATACCCATTAGTAAACTTTAATAATTAGTTATTATTATATATCATTAATGTAAATAAAAAACAGGCCCATGCAGTGAGCTCTGAGGCACTCTACTACTAACAATGGTTCCATCTGATTAATAATAACTTTTTCTTTCTCTCATCCAACCATCCTTCAATCCAATTAACTAGCCTTTCACAAACCCCCACCAATGTGGTTTTCTTCACTAATCATTTGTGTGGCACCTGATCTATGTCCATAATCCAGCTAACACATAACATCCTTTAAAAAAGTTAACAAATTAGAAGATAATATTTCCCTATTGTGAATTCATGTTGAGTTTCTTTCATCATATCACACATTAGTGTCCAACTGTTTATAGGTTTTTGAGAACCATCCACATAATCACAAAGATTGTTTTCCTATGAAAAACAAGACACAGCATGATTAAAATCCTTTTCTTAACCATTAAAGAGCTGCATGAAATGAATTGTGAAGTATCAGTGTAACAATTTAACTCTAGCTTCACTACACTACACTATAAACACGATTATTATGCTACAATTGGCTTTTACTTTTTAGATCTTGTAGCCCTTTCTTTCTGGTATGCTGGTATATACGACATCTAACTCTTTTATTTTCCACATAAAACACTTAGTTTTTAGTTATTCAGCAATTTCTAACAAAGTATTTATTCTCTATCAATATTATGTTAATTGCTATTTAAGTTGTGTTTCTTACACAGAAAGTCAACATGGCTTTAATAAAGAGAAATCTTCCTTTACTAACTTAACTATTTTTCAAAATGTTACTTATCTGTATGATGGAAAGTGTGTTGAATTGGTATACTTAGATTTTCAAAAAGCTTTTCATAAAGATACCATACAGAAAAGAAAACTGCACGAGTTGGAGTTGGGATACACTAGTTACTTACACTGCAGAGTGGCTAAGTGAAAGCAAAAAGTAGTTATTAATGAAATCCAATTAAACTGGACTTTTCTTTCTAGTGATATGCTAAAAGAATCAATGCTTGGGCCTTTGCTTTTCCTTGTTTATATTTATGATACTGATAAGGACATAATCAGTATATAAGTAAACTTTGCTGATGACTACTGTGTTGAGGATGTTGACTTACACAGAATGACTTGTATCAATTGGTAAGTTGACAAATATCTGACAGATGACCTTTAGTTTTACTAAATGCAAGAAAATGCCTTGTAAGACCTCATTTAGAGTGCTTTGTACAGTTTTGGGCTCCCTTCCTCAAGAAAGACACTGAATTGTTGGAGAAGGTTCAGAGAAAAGCCACTAGGACGATATCTGGAATGGTGGGATTGTCCTATGAGGAAAGACCAAAACCTCTAAATTTACTTTCTCTGGAGTGGAGAAGGGTCAGAGGGGATTTAAGTGAGGTATTTAAGATTATTAAGGGTATTGGTAATATATATATCCATAAAACTTTTTTGTGTTTAACAGTGAAAACAATAGGACAAGGGGTCATAAATTCAAAAGGGGGGTCGAGTCGTCTGCAATTTAGACAATATTACTTTTCAAACAGGGTGGTTGGTTTTGGAATGAGCTGCCTTCAAGGTTGGTGGAGGCAGAAAATTGAACCGAGTTAAAAAAAAAAGATTGGATGAATACACGAGTAGTGAGGGGTGGTTATAGTTCAGGGCTAGAAAAGACATCCTTGATGAGCTAATAAGCTCCTTTTTGTCCCTTTACAATTTTATGACATTTAGATTATCATAACTTGGATCACAAATTTAACACAGGTAGGAACCACTAAATAGTAAGAGAAGAAAAGGATCTCTACATAATGGTATATAAGTCACTCACACCATTGATCAAGACAGTTCTCTGTTGCTAATATTAAACATGATCAATTTTTTGGATGTATTTATAGAAATGTTGATTAGAAGTCAAATGAGACAATTTTCTCTTTATACAAATCACTAGTTAAGCCTAACTTGGAATAATGTGTAAGAAAGGATACTGACTAGAATGGGTGCAGACAGAAATATTTTAAGGGGAAGGCAAAACATGTATGTAGGGGATTAGCTTTTACAGTGCAAGTCAACAGACTAAAAGAATATGTGTTATGTGTGCTTAAACACAAACACAAGTTTATAGTTTTAATAAAATTTACTGAAAGTATTTAGTTTAACTACAAGGTTAAGCTTACATCATAAAACATAACATAAATTTTTTTGTGAAATGTAGGGGGGGGGGACAAATCCTCCCTCTTGCTCCTTCCTACAGGCATCCATGTTAATTAGTTCAAAATGGTTCATAAGAGTGCTAATGGGACATCAATTTAAGAATTAGAAAAAAAAATGTGAGGCGCCAGTTAAGACGGTTTTATTTTTCTAAAAGAGCGACTTATGGAATCAGTTGCCATCAGCAGTAATGGACAGGCAAGCATTTCATTTTATAGAAGTTTAAGAAGAGAATTATGATTTTCTAAAAAGATTAGGTGGATTAAAATTTATAATTTTTTCAAAGGTGGATGAACCTATACAAACTTGGAGAGCTAAATGGTCCCTTATTGTCCATATGTTATAGTTCCAAGTATGGAAGGGTTATATTATAGTGACAGATAAAGATCTCTTATTTTCTCTGGGGAAAAAAAATGGTAAGATGTGATCTTATTGAAGTTTTCGAGAGTATCCAGGAATTGATAGTATAAGGGCCTCTGATTTCTTTATACTGTGTTCTGAGCTTCTGAAGATAATAAGACAAAAGGGTTCAAATTTATAATTTGTAAAACACATGTTAGGCTCCAGTTAAGAATTTTTAACTTTAAAAAATGGTGATCAGCTTAATGAAATGAACTTCTTTGGCACTGGTAGAGATCACATTTTATGAAAGTTTTAACTTAAAGAAGGGAATCAATATTTTCACGAAAAAATAAAGGATGGCTTTAAATTTTAACTTTTTTTTCAGGGCCAGTCTTGAAGGACAAATGGTCTGTTATCTGTATATAAGTTACAAGGTAAGTTTACAAATACATATATATATATATATATATATATATATGATAACATATATAAATACAATTTCATGGATACTCTTACTTCATTAATTTGGTTTTAATCACTTAATTAATAAAGTATCTTTGATGCCTTACATCTTTCATCATTACATTGTCCAAAATCCTAAAAAAATCACTCCTTACTTTTACATTACACTCATACATGACATGTTATTTACACTCGAACTATGATTACTAAGTAGGTTTGTATGTTCCCGCACTCGAGTTAAAAGCCAGCTAGTGGTAGAATCTATATACAAGTAGTAGTATAAAACTAAACATATCAAATTACAATGTACCGTAGTTTACTAGTTTTTGCTGTTATACTTTACGAAAACACTTAACTTAAACACTGTCCAGTAAATGGTATAAAGAGTAGTCTTCATATGCAATAATAAAATTTAAAAAACTTTCATAACTTTGACTTTTTTTTTTAAGGTTGAAAACTTAAAAGTAGGCTTGTCCCAACATAACATTTTTTGAAAACAGCTCTAACTTAAAATGTGATCTTTAAGACGTCTAAGCTTTATGCAACATTAACAGTGAAGAAAGTGGATGAAAAAGGAGTTTTAAAGTTTTCAATGTAAAGTTCCTACCCGGAAAAGCCGCTGGAAAAACGAATGTCGGCGTACACACAACCTGTTCAGGAGTGGAAGCCATTTTGCCTCTCTTATTGTGCTGCCACCTAAAATAACATGAAAAGGCTCTAGGCTACGTTAAAAAGGGTGTTTCCCGTATACATGGACCATTTGCAAATTTATATATTGAAATACTGTACTGTCTTTTTACTTACTCATTTTAACTTACTTTTTTGGAAATAAAATTAATAGGAACTTATCGTTATTTTTTAGGATAATTACATTTTATATAAAATTCAGATTGAGTTTACCTTTTATTTTCAGTAAAAAATATGACTAACTGATTTGTGTTATAGAGTGAACGCCTTTTCTGAGATAGCAAAGCATCAGTTCATCAACAAGGAATCCACATACAATTTGCAAAAAACATCTTTAATGACAGAAACACAATCAAAGTTCAAACACAATACAATAAAAAATCGACAAGTGTTTACAGTGGATGTGTGGTTGTTGTTGTTTGAAGTTAAGCACAAAGCTACACAATGGGCTATCTGTGCTCTGCCCACCACGGGTATTGAAACCCGGTTTATAGCGTTGTAACTCCACAGACATACCGCTGTGCCACTGGGGGGCGTGGATGTGTGGAAATAGCAAGGGAGAGAAAATACTAAAGGATAGATTTATTGGTTCTCTCTCACCAGTTTAGTGTGGCCTCTCTGTAAGATGAAAGAAAATAAAATTAAAATCTAAATTAAAAATAACCCTGCAATGTTAAACTAAACACTGTTAAAGTAAATCTCAAGTAAACAATATTATGCAGAACAAGTTCTAAGTCATCCAATCTGAAGTGAAGGTTAACAGCCTGAAAAATTATAAGAAAAATATTTACAAAATCAGCTTAAAATGGGAGGCATGGTTTTTTTCAATACCAAAATAAAAACATATATAAAGCCAGGCTACTCATAGATGCACCTTGTATGTATGCCCTGGAACCAGGCCCGGCATGGCCAGGTGGATAAG